TCCATCGTCGACGTCGATGACTGGCCGACCGACACCGGCAGGCCGAAAAGCCTGTAGATGGGCCAGGCTTCGGCCTGTTGATGCCGTGCACGAGCCGAGTCACGCAGGTCGAAATTTCGAACCCAAAAACAAAAAAAATGCCACAATCCGCACGGACAGGCTATCAAAGCGCCAGATCAGAGCGGATCGGGGGGTCGCGCAAATCCGAAGGCGAAACGCCACGGGCCCGAGGGCCACCCGGCCCCGTCATGGGCCACCCTAGCCCGCCCTCTTCCCACGAGCCTCGGGCCAGGATGGGATGGATGGAGGCCGACCGGGCCCAAGTCGGCCCAGCCAGGGCCCAAGGACCCATCACGGCCTGAGCCCGGGTTGGACGGGCCGGCCCGACCCGAGCCGGCTTCTGAACATGTCTACTTGAGAACACAAAACTTGTTTTTTTATAAAAACATGACAGAATCCACTTCAGTCTGAGTACTGTTTGTGGGTTGGGGCCATTTTCTAAGAAAACCATATTGCTATGTGCATGCATGGCAGATGGAGCATGACTCACATGGATGAGAGACCCTTGATAGCCGTGAAGGACATGGGGAGCACACCAGAGAAGTTGTTGCTACCGAGGAATCTGCACAGCATGGATTGGATTGGAGAGAAGTGGTTCAGAAGAGGATGGCCAGTGGGAGGAAGTCACTGGGGATTAAGCTGGGTCGGAGGAGCAAGGCAGCTGGACTGGAGTGGTGGGGGGTGTAGGAGTACTCACATGTCTGTGAGCCATGTCATCTGAGCAATCACGTCGAGGCCTGAGCTGAGAGTATTGTTGGACACATCCCTGTGGTGTGGTGTGGTGTGGTGCGGTGCACACACACGAGGCAAAGGGGATGAGCGAGAACAAGGTTGAGGAAGCAGCATGTTTGGAAAAGACAAGAACAGCAACTGACAACACTCTGCTTGCCACGTGCAGGCAAGGCTATGTTGTGGTTGGTCCGTTGCTGCACCTACAGGAATGATTTAGCCCTGAAGTAGCACAGGGCAACGGCAAGAAAACAACGGAGTACAGAGCAGGGAGGCAGGGCTGGGAGGTGAGAGGCGTACAGAGCAGCCATGGCAGTGAGGCGGGTGAAGGTGGTGGGAATTCCGCCTGAGAACAGATTGCTGGACACCCCCCTGCATGCAAGGAATAATGCATACCAAGAATAATGCATGGGATGTTACAGAGAGATGGGCATGGTGAGGGATAGGTGGGCATGGAGAGGGGAAGGTGAACATGGTGAGGGAAAGGAAGACCTACATGTGAACCAGGCTTAGCAATGCAAGATGTGGCGGGATGGGTCCTGCAAAGGCATTGTAGGCAAGAAGTCTGGAAGGGGACAGGTGGGGCAGATTAGATCACGATTGACTCTCAAGATGAACAACATGCCATGCGCTAAAAACCTGCACGTGGTTTTGATAGTAGCAACATACATTGACAGGGAAAGCGGTGGACATGGAACCGGAGAACATAGGGGAGGGGGGAGGGAGGGGAGAGCAAGAAGAGTCAACAGAGGAAAGGGAGGTGAAAGAGGGCGTGTGAGAGTGTGTGTGAGAGGCTTGAGGGAGATCAACAGATGAACATTGGTCAGTAAGAGCTGGGGGTTCTTAGGATGGTGGGTGAGTGGGTGGGGAAAGGGAGGAGAGAGACACACATTGTCTGGATGTTGCTGCTGAAGACAGGAGGAGCCGACCCAGAAAGGTAGTTCCAAGACAGGTCCCTGTAGTTGAGGGGGCAGACAAGGAGCGACGGTCCATAGTGCAGAAGACGCTTGAATCGACTCAAAAGACAAGGAGCAAAAACTTACAGTGCAGAATACGTTTGAGTCGACTCAAAAGTCAAGGAGCAATGTTCCACACTGCGGAAAGAGTGAGAAAACAAAGGATGGGCAATGAGACGGGGGGTGTGAGGGCGGGGCAGCGAGAGTGACATGGAAAGAGGGCGGAGTGTCCAGGGAGATGGGAGGGAGGGGAGAAGTTGGGGGGGGGGAGGGTTTGGGATGGAGAGGCGGCTAGAACGAGTAGGAAGTACCAGGAGACATACACTGCAGTGAGGGCTGTTAATGCCGAGTACGCATCAGGTATGGTGCCTCGGAGATGGTTCCCGCTCAGATTCCTGCAACATGGAGGCGACAAACAAACCGGACTTATAACAAACGGCATGTGCTGAGGTTGGCGTTGGCGGCATGCTGCAATAGCACTGATGGCGTACTAATGTTGACACACTGCTGCCTCACAGACTGCTGTCTCACAGACTCACAGGTCAGCCAGATTGACAAGCGTGGACAAGCCTTTGGGCAGACTGCCTTCCAGGTTGTTGCCAGAGAGTGACCTGCAGAGCACAGGGGCAGACAAGAGGTGGACGGCGGCAGAGGTCTCCCTTCAGCCAGAGTGCCTTTCTTTCATAGACATGCACCAACAGCTTATACGAGCATGCACGGTGTGCAACTCTCTCTGCAGAACTCGCCCTCGTTTTTTTCTTGCCGAATCCATTCCAGCAGTCTCTGGGCGAAATGCAACACACCTGTATTCCCAACCCGTATGTTCACTCCCGATCATGGAGAAGCAGCAGAAACGCCCCAGTGTGCAGCTGTCTGGCCGACGGTCTTATCCGAGTGCAAGTCCGCATGAGCATCTGGTTTCTGGGAATTCCAAAAAACTAGCTCAACCCGACGGTCCTCTCCTAGTGCAAGTCTGCATGAGCATCCGTAGGAGGAGGAAACCCTGGGGGGCTCTGCCCACTCACAAGTAAGTCAGCGCGGTCAGCTCTGAAACGCCTTCTGGCAGCACCCCCTGCCGCCTAGGCTCGTCGCTGTTCACGTTCCTGCTCACACGGACAAGGCTTCCAGGGCCGGTCAGTCAGGCCAGCACGGGAGGAAGGTCAATGTTGAGGCAAGGCAGTGGCAAGTGTGCTTGCATGCTTCAGTGTGTGGGTGGGGCAACGTGGTAAAATGGGGGAGTTGGAGATTGGAAGATTGGGAGGAGCTCACAGTGACTGGAGAGTACGGATTTGAGTGACCCAGGCAGCGAAGTCCAAAGCACGAAGATATGACACGTCCCAGCAGGAGGGTGGCAAGGGGAGGTGAAAGGAGGAGAGAGGGGCAGAGATCGATTCTTGTGCCATGTGAGGTGAATTGACAGCGCAGTGAAGAGGCGAGAATAGGCAACAGTACGCATAAGTCGAGCTGCCAAAGACAGGGGCACATGCACACATCCGCACGTAGATGACACATGGACACATATACGCATACACACATGGCCGCATGCACACAGGGGAAACATGGACACATACACACATGCACACATGGACACAGATGGGCACATGCAGAAGCCAGATTCCAGAAGCATATTGTGTGCAGCCTACAGTGCCGTTAGGGCAGTCAAGTATCGAATCTCCCTGGGAACCTCCCCTGTGGCATTGGTGAAAGAGCTGATTGTTCTGCACCCCGTACACATGACAACAGCACTTGGAAAAGTCAGGACAGTGTTGGTGCTCTTGAGAGCCGGGTCAGATGGTGACAGACAGATAATTGGAAAGGAGAACAACATATGGTGCAAGAGTTTACTTGTGGGTGGGCAAACCCATCTCACAGGTCCTGCAGGTTCTTGAGGCGAGAAAGAAGTCCAAAGGAGGACAGCCCCCCTGTGAATTCCGCCAAGCCAACGAGATGCCTGGTGGTGGTTGGGTAATGGGATATGAGACAAGGGAGGTGGTGGAGGGAGGTGGTGGAGGGTGGGGGAGAGATGTGGCAGCACAGGCTCTGGGGAGGCCTTAGAAAAATGTTCAGCCATTGCTGGCGTAGTGTGTTTGCAGGGCGTAGCAGGGCATACAGTGTTTGCAGAGCGGAGAGGGAGGAGAGCCAAGCCAGACCGTCCAGCGTGCCAGTCAGCCTGCTGCCGTCTGCTCCCAGGGCTCTGAGGGGAGAGATGCAGGCACGGGAGGGTGGGGGCAAATGCCAGGGAAATCAGTGCCGTTACTGGACGAAAATGGCAAGGAACTCTACTGAGTTACCGAGGGCACATACAGGTAGGTGAGGCGGGTGAGGCTTGAGAGCGATGGAATGGGGCCCACCAGGTCGACTCCGTCAGCCAGATCCCTGCATATAAATTTAAGCAGAGAAGGAAGGGGAGGGGAGGGGAGAGTGGGGGGGGGGGGGGGGGGGGGACAGGGGGGAGGGGACCCCAGTCAAGGTTGGTGATGGTTAGGTGTAGACATGGGCATGAGCCGAGCCTGGCTCGCCTCGTCTCGCCTCGAGCCGGGTCCTCAGGATCCCTGGCTCGGCTCGTTAGGGGGGCTTGTGTTCTCTCAAGAAGGGCCACTGGTTTTGGGGTCTCTAGTCTGGGGATCTGCCAGATTGTGATTGTGAACAACTGCTGCTCTGTTTGGGGGGCCACTACAAGTCTAGGTGGGCAGAAACATGTATCCCTGTATATACCCACGACTAAGTCTACCTCGGGTTAGACATGGGCAGCATGCCGAGCCTGGCTCGACTCAGCTCGACTCGACCACAAGCCAAGTAAAAGTCGAGCCGAGCCGGCTGCCGGAAAATGGTTGGCTCGACTCGGGGTTTGAGGGTCGAGCCAAGGGCCGGCTCAACTTTGGCTCGGCTCGGCTTGGCTCGACTCGACAGAGTAGTGATGGTTAGTGTTCTTGACTAGAGTAGAAAGTGGGTATTTGGCGGACTTAGAAAATCTAGGTCCTAAACAGAAATTGCCATCGCTGGTGTACCCTAAAAACGTAATTTTCTGAACCCTAATAACCTGAAACACTCTAGTTAATGTCTAACTGAGCTTATGGAGTGAGATTAATGGGGCTTAGGCATGCTAGGCTGGCGTGGTGGGTATTATACGCTAGCGAATATACGCTGTACGCTTGATTTCGGGATTGGATACGCTAGGAAATACGCTCTGGCCGGCAGTTCTAAAAAAAACTCAGGCAAGTGTAAAAAAAACCTGTTTGGGGAGGGAAGAGGGGGGGTCCAGAGCACCAAATTCCCCCCACCAAATGTGGCATCATTTAGCATGGTAATAAATAAATAGTTCAGGCCACCAAGGGCATGTCAAGGGTTCCAAACTCCTCCAACAACCAGCCAGCCACCCATCTCAGGTAAGCCTCCCCCAAACCACCCGCCTAACCCTCTCCTGCTCTGCTCTACAGGTACTCGTCCAGCAGCTCCTCATCTTCGCCCTCCTCATCCTCCTCCTCCCGATCCACCCTGTACCCCGCAGGGACGGGGGCGTCCAGGATGCTCCCGGAAACCACCCCCACCCCCTCGTCGGCCATGTGCCAGTTGTGCGCAACGTAAACCAGGTCCTTGCACTTTTCTGAACCCAGCCGGTTGCGTCGGGCGGTGTGGACAGTATCCCACACCGCCCAGTTGCGCTCGCAGCTGGATGCGGACACCAGCTGAGTTAGCACACGGTAAGCAAGGGCCATGAGCAAGGGGTGGTCAGTGCCGTGCCACTCCCACCATGCCTCCATGGAATAACTTCCCTCCTTCACCAACTTCCGGTCACTGATGGTCTCAGCCGTGCCGAAGCTGCCCCTCAACTTCAGAAAGGCGGCCAACCCTTCCTGCAGGAGGAGTGTTGAACGAACTAGCTTGGAAGAGAAAATATTGAATTGAGTAGGGATCCAAGAGGCTGTTTTGTACAAAACAAGGAGCAAGGAAGACTTGGAAGGGAAGCTCTCCTATTGGCCATAAAGTGGACCAATGGGAGAGGTTGCTTGTAGGGCAAGCTACCACAAAGTGTTGTGCTCTCCGATTGGCCACAATGTGGACCAATGAGAGAGATTGCTTGGAAGGCAAGCAACCACATAGTGCGGTGCTTGGTGATTGGTTGGTTCCTAGGACCAAGGACCATTTGGTTGGAATAGTGCCAACCAAATGTCTAGGACCAAATCCAATCTTGACCAACCCAAATGTGGGGTTGGTCAACCCAACCAACAACCCCCCAATAATTATAATGACTACACCTCCTAATCTAGGCATGCATGTTGTATAGATATATATTGTACAACACAACCCCCTAACATGAATAAGACTAGAGGGCTTGAATCAGGAGGCGGACGAGGGAACGGGGGGAGCGAGTCCAAGAAGGTGAAGGAGGGATGAGTGGGCGGCGTGGGGGAGGGCTTTGGTGAAGATGTCGGCAAGATTGGTAGCAGAGTCAATCTTGCCCAGCTGGAGGTGGCCACCCTGCACAAGATCGCGAATGAAGAAGTGGCGAAGTTCAATGTGCTTGGAGCGCCCGTGGAACACAGCATCCTTCGTGAGGTGGATGGTGCTGGCGTTGTCACACCAGATGGTGGGACAGCGCTGAGGGGCACCAAGCTCCTCAAGAAGGAAGGAGAGCCAGCGGGCCTCCTGCGCAGCCATGGTAGCGGCATACAGCTCTGCTTCGCAGGAGGACAAGGCAATGGAGGAGGAGCGGGTGGAGCGCCAGCTGATGAGGCCGCTGCCAAGAGAGAAGCCATAGCCCTGAGAGGAGCGGCGGTCAGGCCTAGAGTCAGCCCAGGAGGAATCAGAGTAGCCAATGAGGAGGGGAGGGGAGGGGCCGCCAAGGGTAAGGACGTAGTCCTTGGTCCCCCGAAGGTAGCGGAGAACACGCTTGGCCGCTTGCCAGTGGGCGGCAACATGCTTGCCGGTACCAACGAAGCGGGCCAAAACACTTATGGGGTATGCCAGGTCAGGGCGGGTCGAGACCATGGCATACATGAGAGAGCCGATGAGCTCAGCGTAGGGGTGGGAGGAGGAGGAGGGGGAGGTGAGGGGAGTGAGGTAGTGCCCAACAGGAAGAGGGGTGACCTTAGGGGTGCCTCGAGCCATGTCGAACCGCTCCAGGACCAAACAGGAAGTGGCCCTGGGAGAGGGAGATGGTGCGAGCAGCACGGTCGCGGGTAATCTCCATGCCGAGATAGTGCTGCAGCTCCCCTAGATCCTTACACTTGAGCCGGCTGCCAAGCTCACGCTTGATGAGGATCATATCGTCGACATAGAAGAGGATGTAGAAGGGGGAGGGGGAGGTGCGGAGGAAGAGGCTGGGGTCGGCGCAGGATGTGCTGAAGCCAAGCTCGGCGAGGGTGGCAGCAAGCTTGGCATGCCACTCCCTTGGTGCCTGGTTGAGCACATGGACCGGCCGACGCACCTGCCAGACAGAGTCGGAAGGAAAGGGGAGGTGGAAGCCTGCAGGACGCTCCATTTAAATGAGCTCGCGCAAGACCCCCTGGAGGAATGCGTTGGAGACGTCCATGGAGTGAATCTCCATGTTGAGGCGAGCAGCAAGGTCGAGGACTGTGCGAATGGTAGCGGGCTTGGCAGTGGGAGAGAAGGTGTCGAAGAAGTCGACAGCGTAGCGCTGGGTGAAGCCCTTGGCGACGTAGCGGGCCTTGTAGACTGGCGGCTCGCCAGGAAGCTGCTTCACCCGAAACACCCACTTCCCTTTGACCACGTTCGTGGTAGAAGGAGGACGGGGCACATCCACAAAGGAGGAGTTGGCAATAAACGCCTCCAACTCCTTGAGGATGGCCGCGAGCGAGAGGTGAGCGTCAGGGCACGCCATGGCCTCCTCGTACGTGGCGGGGACGAAGATGGTGGGGGCGGAGGAGAAGGCGAAGACTCGTGTGCCGCTGAGGTCAGGGGAGATGGGTAGGAAGGCTGGATCATGCAAGTGGAGGTTAAGGAACTCCCCATGAGAGTCCTCGAGGAGGGAGGAGTGGAAAATGCATGGGAGGACTGCAGCTGCTGCTACTGCTGCTGCTGAGGATGCATCTGCTGCTACTGCTGCATCTGCTGCCGTCGCTGCTGCTGCTGCGGGTGAAGGCGAGGAAGGAGCGACGGCTGCTGCTGTTCGTGCTGCTGCGGTTGGGACTGCTGTACTGGAGCTTGACGACAGGGTTGGGCTAGTGTTTTGTTGTAAGACTGTTTGAAAAAGGAGGTCCATGAGAGGGGAGAGAGGAGGCAAGGTAGAGGAAGAGAGGATAACAGGAGGCGGGGCACCTAGGACTGCGTCACGCGACCTGGTGTGGGGATACCGGGTGAGGATGGAGCGGGTGGGACGCAGGGGGGGAGGGGGTCGCGGGGGAGAGGGGGGAGGAGGGGAGGGGGGAGGATGGAAGGGAGCGGAGGGGGAGGAGTGGGACGGGGAGGCAGGGGGAAAAAAAGGGTCAGGGTCAAATATGTCACCAAAGGAGGGGGGAGCGCTAGGGACCGAGGCGGCGGGGAATGGAGGAGGTGGAGCGGGGGGGAGGATGGGAGGGGGAGGGAGAAGAGGGGGTGGGATAGTGTCGGACCAGTTGAGGGGCCTGGGAGCAGGGGCGAGAGGGTCAGTGGGGGGAGGAGTGGAATAGTAGGGTGTGGACTCATCAAAGACTACATCCCGACTGCGGAGGAAACGACATGAGGGGGGGTGAAGGAAGAGGTAGTCCGGGGAGGAGGGATTATGACCAAGGAAGATGCAGGGGAGGGTACGGGAGGCGAGCTTTCCCATGGTGCGGGGGCGGTCCGCAGGGTGAATGAGGACATACGCCCTGGAGCCCCACACACGGAGGGAGGAGACGTCAGGCTTGGCCGACAGAGAAGGGGGGCAAGAGGCATGGACGAGGAGACACCGAGCAATCTTGGTGATCTCCCGAACACGGCTCTCGGCCACACCATTCTGCTGGGGTGAGTGGGGGAGGGTGTGAGTCTGGCGAATGCCATGAAGCTCACAGTAGGAGGCTACCTGGCGATTAAGGAATTCGCCACCGCCATCAGAGTGAAGGCGGCGGACAGGGCGGCCAAAGTGGGTGCTCGCCTGCTTGAGCCAGGCGATGATCGCAGCCGGAGCGTCACCCTTTGAGCGAAGAAGGGAGACGGAAGAATATCGGCTGTGATCATCGACCAGAACAAGCATGTAGCGATGGCCCTGGCGGGAAGGGGAGGGGTTGGGGCCCCAGAGGTCCATGTGAACGAGATCAAGCGGCTGAGCAGCAGCGGAGGGGGAACTCCGATGCGGCAGCTGTTTGAGCTTGCTCTGGACACAAACGGGGCAAGGTGGGGCTGGGGAGGGAGGGAGGCGAGGGAGGGTGAGGGGAAGACCTCGAAGGAGACCTGAGGAGACGGTCGAGCGGAGGGTGGCAAAGTTGGGGTGACCAAGCCTGTGGTGGAGGAGGACGGTGGGATGGGAGAGGGATCGACAGGAGCAAGTTGGGTCAGGGGGGAGGGGGGGAATGGAGGGGTTAGAAGGAGGGAGAGGAGGGGGAGGGATGTGAGGTGGGGGGAGGGAGCGGGAGACTGCTTGGGCAAAGGGAAGACGAGGAACTCGAAGGGTATATAGGCGGGAGCGAGGACAGAAGGGAATACGGGAGAGGAGGTGACCTGTGGGATGGTATAGGAGGCAGTGATTAGTGCGACCTGGGAAGACGGTGGTGATACCGGCCTGCTGCAGGGATCGCTGGGAGAGGAGGTTAGTACGGAGGGAGGGGATGTGTAAACCAGTAACGGTACCTGAGGGGAAAAGGGGACAGGGGAGGGTAGAGGTGTGGCGACAGGGAATAGAGAAGCTGGAATCAGCACCAAGGAGGGAGGTGGGGGCTGGGAGAGGGTGAAGCGTACCAGCATCACGAAGGACGGACTCGGTGGCTCCACTGTCAAGGACAAAGTCTAGCGTGGTGGAGGGGGGAGGATGTGGGAGAGGAGGTGGGACGGAGTACTGAATCACATTCTCATTAATAGCAGCCGAATACATAGAAGGGGCGGGGGTTCCAGCCTGACTAACCATGCCAACAAAACCAGAGGAGGGGAAAGGAGTCACACTGCCTGTGGCTGAGGGCGCGGGAGACGCGCCCGAGAGGTGAGCTGCGGAAGCGGCGGTGCCGGCGGTCCAAGCGGGGTAGGGCTGCTGGGGGGGAGCCATAGGAGGAGGTGCAAGGGGGAGCTGCGACTGGAGGTCAAGCTGCTGCTGGAGCTGCTGCTGCAACTGGGAGAAGAGGTGCTGCTGCCCCTGCTGCTGCTGCTGCTGGAACTGCTGCTGCTGCTGCTGAAACGGCTGCGGCAGGATCTGCTGCGGAGTCTGCTGCTGCTGCTGTTGCTGAGGGACGGCCTGGTGGGCCAAGGGGGAGGAGACGGGCTGGAAAAGAGGGGAGGTACGAACCTCTTGAGGAGTGGGGCAAGGGGAGAGGGAGGACCAGCGGGGGGGGGTGCCGGTGTTGCCGCGCGCAGACCACTCATAACTGAGCGCTTTGAAGCAAGAATCAGTGGCATGAGTGGTCTGGCCGCAGCGCTGACCCCGCGTGGGGCCATAGCGAGGGAGATACTGACAAGGAGGAAAGGCGGCTGCTGCACCACGTCCTGCGCCATTGCCACCACAACCCGCACCTAGGCTTGAGCATGAACCCAACCCGACCCGACCCGACCCGACTTTGCCCTACCCGATGTCGGGTTCAGGTCGGGTCGGGTCGGAGTTCAGGAAATGTCAACCCGACCCGTGTTTAATAGGTTGGGTTCTACCTAACCCGATTTCGGGTCGGGTCGGGTCGGGTTGGCATAGGGGCAGGGACGGGTAATAAGCCGACCCGACGGGTCGGGTTTTATCGGTCGGGTCGGGTCGGGTCGGGTCGG